TAGGTATAAGCTTAGGTATAACGACCGGTAACTTAGCGTATTATAGCTAAGAGAAACTCTACCCCCATCGGTTCCTTAACAAAATGTTTTAATAATGCGGTTATCGGAAAATAAAGGTCTTTAGAGTCGAAATAAGCGGGTATCTTAGGGGCTACGTCTTCTCCTTAGTCGTTCTTCTTCTATCGTAGTACCTAGCTCTAATTAATACCTAACTTAACGGTATAAGGTATATACCTCGGTTCGTTTAAGTTCTAAGGGGCGTTCGCTATAGGAGCCGTAGGCGGAAGAGGTACATCCTATTTATCTTCGGGTATAATAGTGTAGTTACGTCCTTATCCTTACTCTTATAGCCCTTCTTACGCACCATTAGGTAGCTAAGAACGACGAGAGGGAGGTAGTTATAAAGGTAACGAGCTCCAGCTACTAGACATCGAAGTTACCCTTAAGAGGGGGTTTACGGGGTTCGATGCGAGGGGTTAGTTTTATATAGTAGCTGGACTCCTTAAAGATTCGGTAGAACTTCGGGTTAGAGGTTAATGTACTAGCGCTATAAGTAGAGCTACTAGAGACTAGGCCGGTAATGGCGGTATTAAGGAAAAGGACGACTAGGTGAACTAATTCGAGCGTCTAGCGGTCTACGACGAATTCTAGGTAGGAGGATTAGGCTTAGGAGGATTAGATAGTTCCGCTATAAGGTTATTAATGCCTAAAGAGTTATCATTCTAATTTCGAGATAACTAAGACGGCTAACGGGAGCGAGGCGCGCGTCTAGAGTTTAACGATATAGTAGTTTTTTTAAATAACAAGAAGTAAGTATTTCGTTGTTCTAAGTAGCTAAGTTTGATATCATCTTATACTAGTTACTATAGGATAAGTCGAACTCAACAAAAGAAATTTCAAGGGTACGTCTTTAACTGCGGCGAACTTAGTTTAATACGATCTTATGTAAGTTCTCTAGGAGTCTTCGAACGTATCTTAAAGAGTTGTGTAAATAAGAGAGGTCTTAGAAAGTATCACGGTGTAACCTTGGATAGGAGGAATCGCTGTTAAGGGTGTAATTATGATATGAATTCTGAGACGAAAGAGTCTAACTAGTAATAACGCGCAATCTACGGTAGAAGAGTTCACAGATATTCAGCCTCGTGTGGGGTAGTCAGCCTTGTGCGGGGTATCCCACACTTGGCATTTGTCGAGACCGTGACACATTGCTTCTGTTCTCCCCCAGCTGAGATGTGCCTTCCAGCCACCGAAAGATATCGGGTGTCATCACATCTCAAGGCAGGGGACATGCCCCTGATTTATGCATCGCCCTCTGCCAGCATCTCCAAAGGTCTCCAAAGGTCCTTGCAGTACTCCGCAGCAACTTGGTCGGATCCCTGTTCTGTCCTTGTCGAGCAAGACAGGAGCATGTCCATCATCCCTGCCAGCAGTTGGAGGAGAGTTGATACCCTGGCCTTTGACTCACGGACACCTTGGGCAAGTCGTTCATCCCGCATCTACCACTTCAGTTTAAAGGTCTACCTACAGGTGAGCCGGATGAGTCTGGTGAATCAAGTCTTGTGGATACTGGAGTATGAGCAGGTGGTGATTGGTGTGGATTCGCGAGGCAACGCCTGCGGAAGGCGTGGCAGAGAAGCGCTTTGGTCGCAGGGTAGCGGCATGAGAGCTTCGCTGGAGGGAGTTTCATATCTGAAGAGCGTAGCCCGGGGTGAAGGTAAATGAGCCAGACTCCAAGCACTCGTACCTATTCTGATTTTAATGTAGACCAGCCTCTTTTGAGCGCAGGATGCCTCGACCAAGTTTCCTCGTCAAATATGTACATCGTGCTCATACGAGGGGCGTGAGGTCGAGTTCTAAGGCACTGATAGCCCGCAGTAGTGGCACCTGTGTGGATGAGCGTGACTGAGTACAAAACCATAGTCACGGCGCACTCAGCACAACGAACGCAGTATTGACTCGGTGCTTCAAATCAGGCGGTACATGGAGAGTGTTCCATAACTTGGCAAGGTATAGTAGGTTTAAGACTCAAAGCCACGAGGGATCAATGATGGTATCCTCTGCAGGGCATTCTGGTGGCAGAATACATACAACTTGTAGCCTCGTAGGCAAACAAAGCAAACTCAGTGCTTGGCATGGTCAGGATGTGCCTAACTATATCAGGAAGGTGCCTATCCTTTCTTGTACCGCAAATAGAAGGTTAGACGAGCCAGCTCTTGGAGTAGAGTCTAGTCTATGCCCAGTTAGACTATCGGAGCGGAACAATACTTTTCCAGACTGTCTCGTGACTGAGTTGCCGAATCCTGACAACACTGAATAACCAGAATCTTAGCATTTCCACGCCAGAGTCCCAACAAGTTATTGGAGCGAAGCAAACTCGCGGACAGAACTGAAAGTCTGAGCGCCTTCGCCTACAAGTGTTCTTGGCCGAAGTCCTGCCACCGCGCCCCTCAGCTGCCCTCAAGCACCTCCGCTTGTCGCCCAGAGAAACCGATTGCGGGAACAGTGGAAGAGCGCAGGCCATTGATGTCGCTTTCCATCTGCTTTCTGCGCTTTCTCCTGACAATTTGATTCAATTCCGTGCATCGTCCATACGTGCTCACTGTTGCTAGGGACTTGATTATTGCAGAGTCGCACGCGCTGCCCCTGTCCAGTGTTGCTCAGACAGGTCGCAGTCTCCCCTCCCTGCCACCTCCGAGTCCTCTCCCGCTCTTTCCCCTCGCACCGACACATCCACCGTCTACCTTTCGTTACCGCGAACCTCTCCCTCCGTCTGCGTACTCGCCAGGACGCCAGACCCATGACCAGTAGCCCTTGTCCCTGACTCATTGAAGCACTTCTTCCCGTCCGAATACTGCGTTAGCTTCAACTCCGTCGAATCCTACCTTCTCTGTCGTCCGCACTTCAGCGCATTCGCCAGCGCTAATCCGCGCATCCCGGACTCAAGACACCGCTGTCACCGAGAAGGCGCGGTTCCTTTACCATGACGCCGCTGCCGTCGACTCTTCTCCGTCGCACCCGACCACAATGGCATCCATGCCAATTATATCCAAAAAGTTGAACCCTCCTCGGCATCCCTTCGCCGGGCCCTTCGCCGTCTTTCCGAAGACGCTCTGAAGAGTCGGAACCTCTCACAATCCCTCCGCTGTGCCAATGTCGGCTTGGAGATTCTCCAAGGTGTGGTCGCAGTTGTGATGGCAGAAAGAATATAAGAGTGATGCATCGGCGTCATCCCACCACTCTCTGTTCGATGGCGACGGACGGCCAGGCAAGAAGCTGGTCAGCTGCCAAAGAGAAAGACTATGGCACACCTCGCCACACACGGTGCGACGCGGCAGACACAGGCCGGCAAGGGAGGCTCGAGCTCCTGTTGGCCGTGCCGCTGACGGGAGAAAGCGTAAAAACCGCAAATGCAGATGGGTGCCCGGCTGTGCAGCTTGCGGCACGCTCGCTCTACCCATGCTCCCACAGCGTGTGCAGAGTTGTGTCTGTCATCCATGGAATACCAGCCCTTGTGCAATGCACGATATGGCGGATCGGGCACTCAGGCTTTCTTGATAGCGGTGCAAGTTTCTGCCACTCAATACCCTTCAAGGAGGAGATCGATCCCATTGGAAAGCACACCTCGTGGTTTCTACAGGAGAAGGGTATTTATTGATACTGATACCGATGCAGAGGGAGGAACCTGGTTCGGACGTATTTGCGCGAGCCTTGCCATCCCTATCTATACCTTGGCCTGTGCCGGAAGCAAAGAACAGTCTTGCCAAAGTCTGTCTCAGCGGCAAGCGACCACGGCGCAGGCAATAGGTGGTCTTTCCCACGTTCACCGCTTCCTGGAACTGGAAGCATAGGAATGACTGCGGCTGGATGTTCAGGAGTAGGGCGAGGCGGCGGACGAACTCTCCCGGTGTCTTGTCAAGTCGGCACAGCTTTGCGCGACTGGAGACTTCCGTTTGGCAGTGTCGAGACAAGCTAATGCGACGACCTGATCTCATCAAGGAGGAACTGATCGCCCGTGCCTGAGGGGAGCGAAAACGTGACAAGGAACCCTCGCGGATCCTTGTACATGACCGCTATGCAGGTTCTATATAGTTACGATCTCGGAGAATGTCTGTGAGTTCGAGAGCGACCTCCGTGAATACATATTGCCATTGTACCACGACATTGATAATTCAGGATGCCATGTTCAATACCAATCCCCCCATCTTGCTCCCTGCCGAGCCACCATATGCAGCATGTGCTCCAATACATCTTCATTCTCGGGATACACCTCCGGTGTCGTCGCGGAACACGGTGCCGCGATGGCTTGTCTGCCCCGTCTCTCGGTATAGTCTTGCTCAAGCGTTCGGCATCTCCGTGTCCGTCAAGCCGTCCACGTTCCGCAATCCATCCTCTACTGCATACACAGTTAGTCAAAGCACTGCGAGACCCGTCCAGGCCGGGAACTCTGATCCTCTGCTCGTCTTCACCGCTGAGCGGGAACCCGTGATGAAGCTCGATGTCGCTTCCAGACATTCACATACCCACTCATTCGCCTAACCTGATATCCATATGTCCGTCTATTTCTTTCGCTGCCTGCGCTGTTTGCTCGTGCATCATCGGTGCTGCGGGAATCCATATCGGGAGACCCAGAACTGCAGAGCTGCGGAACTGTTCTGTGATGGGGCAGCCTGCATCGGCAGGGCGCGTGTGGGTTCTTGAATACTCCGTTGCAGTGTAGCCCATATTTATGATGAGTAGAATGAAGCCTTTCCCTTTTCTCATACTTTTTCACTTTGCTTCGTCGCTTCGTTGCTTTCTCATGCGTTGTCAGCCATGTCAAGCGTCGTCAGTACGAAATCGATGTCACACTTTGTCTGCCCTGCCTGCCTGACCTGCCTGCCCCGTCGTGTCTCGGCAGAATTGCAGCTCTTCGGAATCTGTCTGTCTGCTCTCTCGTGTACTGTCTCGTGTGCTCTCGTTGCTCGTGTTCACCTCTTGGTCATGAGAAGCGACCATCGGTCTCATTCCCTGCCCGTCCATTTGATGCGGAACAGTCGTCGGTCTCCTTCCTTGCTCATCCAAGAGCCCTTGGAAGCAGCTGTCGGTCTCGTTCCTCGTCCAGGCATCGGGTGTTGACGCCTCCGGGAATCTGCAGGGCAGGAGAGACATCGACCACCCACTCCCCCACCCGCTCGCGTTCCCTGCCTGAGAGCCTGCCAGGGTACACGATCAATCCGAGTTCCCTCTCGCTGCCTGCTGCGCGATGAATCAATCATCAAGCTGTCTCTCGTCCTGCCCGTCTGCCCTGCTGCCTGCCTGTCCGCAGCTGCCCGCATTTGCTGGTGTCTGTCGGCTTTCTTTCCCACGCCACGCGCCCCCTGCCTCTTCCAATCAACATATCCATCTTCCGCAACGCTGCACCCATCGTGTGGCATTGCTCCGCAATCATCCTGATCACAGGAGGCGGTGCCAGCGCGTCGGACACGCCGGAGGCCCTCCCCCGCTGCTGTTCGGGGCGCCACACCAACGAGACGGAGGTCCCGCGACAATTCAACCATTGTTCCGACATCCAGACGATGCCCTCGACAGTATCGAATGAGTGGCAGGGCCGTTGGGCGAAGTTGGCTGTCGTCGATGTGCGGGGTCAACTGGTCGAAATGTCTTTGGACCAGTTGACCCCGGCTGGTACCCGCAACACGAAAAGATCGAAACGTGGCCGCAGCGGCAAATGGGTCTCTGAGGAGAAGGGCACGACGCTTTCGATACGCCCCATACAATTTTTGAGCGGGTTGCATCACGCGTCGTGGTGCTGTGGCACGATGAAGTATCGGCGGCGGTCTGGGCGTGCCCTGTGCGGACGGCGGTGTCGTTCGGCCGTCTGGGAATGCCTCTCCGCATCGGTATCGAGACTCCGAGCAAGCCGTGAGAGCTTGAGGCATGTTGTCGTCGGATTCGTTGGCCAGGGAGGGAAGGGGAGCGTTTCCGTTGGCGGAGAAAGCTGTTCTTCCGTCCTTCTTTGTCTGAATTTGCGGTGAAGGGATCCGTTCTTCCGCTGTACGAATGCTGCAGCGGTATCCCACGTCTCTGCTGTGTCAGCTGCATGTATTTTCACTCCGGGGAACGTTCGATGGCGCGAGCACGGGGGGGGTTGAAGGCATGACAATCCGTGTTGGTTTGCAGTCCGATCAGAGCCGCGGGAGAGGACTTTCTGCACGAGCATGGGCGTACTCCGGTTCCTCCTCAATCGTTCATCATCTGCTTGTTTCGACAGTCAGACAGTTCCAAGCGTGGAGGTCCTGCTGTATGTGTTGCCCGGCCTTGCCGGACGAGTGCGCAGACCGGATCAGCCAGCGGTCGAAGAGCGCCTTGAGAGATGTCACGACCTGCTCGTGCCCTGTGATCTTCCCCTCATCACTCCAGAACGCCATTCCTCCTGTCAGATAAGGGACATTGGACTCCAGCGACAGTGGCATGGCTCTTGAGGCGACCAATGCTTAGCAAAAGTGAAGGGAGCGCGGGCCAAAAGGCTGTTGAGAATCCCGTTGAAGCGCTTGTCATGCTCGAGGCAGTGCGCCCACGAAGGCAAAATGAATCGACTGCACTCTCCAATGGATAAGCTGGACTGATGTAACCCAAAAAAACTCACCGGTTGACATGTTTTGTCGTCGCTGTCAATACCTTTTTCGCGGCCTGGACTTGTGTGTTTTCCGTCCCCAAAGCCAACAGGTTTCCGCAGATGGAGAGATGTGATTGGTGGACCGAGGTCTCGCCGCCGAACTTGACATTTCAAACTCTGGGGAAGGGCTTCGCTAACAAGACGATAGCGGGCCCGCCAGCTTCACTCTCGTCGAGACTAATGCTCGTCGGTTTTTGTTATTGTCCAGCTTGGCAGGATGGGCCCTCTCACAACATTGGCCGATGGGTTTGTTGGGCGCAGATCGACACGGAATTGGAAAGACGACGCACTTGGTGTGTGGTTGTTCGACGCAAGGCCGGCGAGGCTCCTTCGCGTTCAGCCTTTCGAGAGCCAGACAGTGAGGTCATCTCTGTAGCCCGGTGGGCAGATGCGCTGGCACTCTCCATGTGCCTAGTGTTGTTATGAGATGGGAGGGACAAGTCCAGACATAACGTCCTCGACCGCTGCAGATTGCTCGCAAAAGAAATACTCTGCAGTCTTTTTGCACAAGCAATCTCCTTTCCACGAGCCCAAGTACAGAGAGTCGGTGGTCTTTGAGCCAACCTTGACTATTACATATGAGCCAGCAATCCAGGCACCACCGCAAACAGCGAATGATCGGTTAATGATCAGTTGTGTGGAAGGTCATTAGATAGCCGGATGAAAGTCCCGATCTCCACGTTACTAACACTCCTCAGGGCGCTGTGGACGTCTGTAGACATGAGGAGTTTCGGCATTTCCGGGGGCTTCTCACGCGAAAAGCCATGGATGATAGATTGGTACTATGGACACATACATTTGCACGATAGGTAATAACTACCGAATGCCTGATAGCCACGACTCAGTATCACTGCAGAAGGAGGCCGGAGTTCGGGATTACGGCGATGCATCGTAGACTAGTTTGCCAGGTCTGTCAGTATGGGAGCTCGGTGGAGGAGTCGATGAGCGATGGTGATCCTTCACAGCAATGCAGCTTCCGTTCAAGGACCTCAGTCACAGCGATCATGCAAAGTCCTTAGCTGAAAGACTCGGTTACGCAGGGTAGGAGGATACGGGCAAAGGAGATGGAGTTGAGACCTCTACGCTTATATGCAGACCTCAAATCCCAAAAGATTGCCGAGGCCCCGTGGACTGCGGTGGGTGTTCGCTTGCCTCGCTCTGAAATGGTTCCACGTGCTCCGGTACCAGAAGACCATGACACGGAACCAGCGTCAGACTCCCGAGGCATAGGTCGTAGCGGCAAGGCCCTGCAAAGATCCGACGACAACTCTGCTCTGCTCGAGCTCCCGTCACTGATCCGAACTTTCAAAATCCATGGAGATTCTTTCAGACTGATAGCGGTCAACTCGAGGGACTGGGAACTGCGAAAGGAGCATGCGTAGAAACACTCCCATGTACGAGGTACTCGCATGACGCTCCAGATTGCGGTCACTCTAGAAGGAATTCATGCCTGTTCGACACGGTGTCTGACCACATTCATATTGATCGTGGATTTGCGAGGCGGCTCACGAGGTCCATCGCTGCCATCTCTACCAGTGGCATTGATAAGATGACACCCGCCGATCCTGGACATTTATCGCCGTTCAGTCTCGCTCGGAGATCTTCCCGCAGCCTGGTGTCCGAACAGACTGCGCAGATATGTCAAATATCTCAGCCGCCTCCGAGGGAGCTCACATCTCCCGGTGATGTGTCGACTGGCTTTGTTCCGCCTCTTACGAGCAAGCACCAAAGTCGCCGAGAACCGCTTCCTCAATCTCCTCCTCTTCTGCCAAATCATGTATTGAGCCACCGATATTTCTCGTTGAATCCGTTCAAAACATCTCGAGCAGCGGCATCTAGAGGCCTGCAGCAACCTTGACTTGGAACGTATGCAGATGTACTCTCATGGTTCCAGTCGCCGTCTGTAAGGGCGTGCTGTAAGGCCTGCAACCGAGTGACAATCCGCTGCGCTTTATACTCCACAACTCTTCTCAGAATCTCTCTATTAAACCCCGTAGAGCTCTCCTGTGCAAGTATACTCAAAGACAGTTTGTAGTATTCGTAGGGTTCGTAGGGTTCGTAGGGTCAATGGAAGAAGCGGGAGGAAATGAACCCGTCCAGTCGGATCATCGGCGGGTCAAGTTTGCGGTTGGGTGGAAGAGGCTTTGGAGGGTGGAAGAGCCTGTAGGCTACAGTGGAGCTGGGAGGAGTGTTAGTATCGACAAGATACTCATGGTACTGTGAAACTCACCGTTATCATGTCAGGGTAGGCTACACCACCAAGAGCAGCCACTGTACCTGTCAGTTTTGTCATCGAAGCGTGAAGCCAGCCACAATCGCTCGCTTTGTGCACAATCGCATTACTCTCCAGAATAGTATCTTCGTCCTCCGGCAGAGATCTGCTGCGATCCGGCACTCCGCCGCGTCAATGCATCTTCCTACCTGTTCGGCAGACGGTACTTGTCTCTGTGCTTACGCATGCAAACACCGCAGCACATCCATTTTCATTTGGGATGGATCGTTTCGGAGGTATGGAGAGGCCTACTCAAAGTAGGCTTGGTTCCGGGGACGGCAAAGGTCTTGCGTAGGAATAAACTGGCTGGCGGTCTTATCCATGCTGATTGAGGAGTCAGGCGGTTTGGGCGGCGGTGGTCACATTTCAAGAGACCGCAGTGGATGGCAGTACCGCATGGACAGTGTTGCCTCATGGTACATCGTGTCGCCTACAACGACGAATGACGCAGGACAGAAATCCTCCCGGACACGAGAGTGAGAAGGACGAGACGTGGCATGGAGGACTGCACATGTCCGCGTCTGCGGGCTTTTCTCCGCCGGAAGCATCGGTTGACTTACCTCACTCGACTCTAGTAGCTCGCGATACCTACCTTCGCTTCTATTTCTCGGCACGAAGCATCGCATGACTTGCCTCATTTCAAGACATCTCTCGTCATACCTACCTCTATCGTGCGACGCACGTGCTATCGGGGCAGTACTGCCAGTATGTCATCGGATCGCTATACCTGCCTGGTTCAAGCACACTGACAGTGTCTGGTGCTGGACCTGCATTACTACGTTCTTTCTCCGCAGTGCAGTATGTTTGACGAGGGGTGCATCCGCCGTGGAATGCTCCTCACCTCTACCTCCGGATCTCTGGCATTCCCATCTCTGATGTTTTATCCTTTGTGGCTTCCTCGATGACCCCCCCCCCAATTCCTGCAGTGCCCTCCCGTTGATCGATCGAACGACACGAATATACCTACGACGATGACATTACGGCTCGGATAGCCCTCTAGCCGTCGGTCAGAGTCGGTCTGGCAAGATCGCTGGCATGGCCTTGTTAGAAGAAGTCATGTACAAAACAGTGCATGTTACGAGGGGGACAGCTCACTGAGGAGGCGGCGCAGTTTCAGAGGCGGCATCTCCGGCGAGGCACGCTGGTGGTGGCAAGAGGAGGTCGAGGCCCAAGGCATTGAGTCTTGATGTCACCATACTGTGAAGGAAGGTAGGAAAATACAAGCAATGGTCAAATCTTACTCGATCGATGGCGAAGAGGTGGAATGACGCCGCTGGTGGTGGTCTACAGCAGTCACAGCGTGGGCGCGGACGAGCAAAGAATGGCGATGAAAGACTTCCCACCCACACTCGGCTGGGGGTCATTCAAGGCGCTGTGACAAACAGAGCAGAACAAAGGTGGTGGGCGACGCAGGAAGAGAAAGCGGCGGAATGGGTGATGGCAATTTTCCGGGAATCCTCTTCCCATGCTTCATTCCATGTCCTCGCCCGACTAACAGAGGGGAGGAACAGACAGGTAGATCCTTAGCATCATCATCATATTCATGAGGAGCTGTTACATAAGCCAGAGGCAAAATACATGACAATCAGTTCATCCGTTAGTCATTCATCCATAGCAGCAAGGTCGCTTGGTTTATCCCCGTGTTTATTGTCCCACTGGTAATCCAAACGGTTTGACCGCCTCTAAAAAGAACCAATAAAAAGGAGATATCCCGAAAAAGAGACGACCACGTCCGACCGTACGTGCCATTTTTCATTAGAAGTAACCGGCTTGTGTGGGTATATCATGGGTAGGGATGGTGTTGTAGTAGTGCAGTAGAAGGCGCGTCGCACGCATGGCACGCTGGACCGTTAGGCGCTGGACGTTCTGGTCGATGGCCCTGGGCGGTCAGCGGAAGAAGTGGGCGGGCACTCCTCTTGGGCAGTCAAGACCGAGCTTTGGCCTGCTTCGGTCGGAAGCTGGTGGCCTGCGGCCGGCTCTTCCTGGTGGCGTAGATGCAGTGTTCAATGCAGCCTCCTTTTAAGTTCCGGGCAGTTGTCGGCCGAGATGATGGCGACCAGCTCTTTCAAGAGATATCGCTCCCGGCGACAAGGAGATCGGTACACTGGGAATCGGGGTTGTTTGACGAGACGACTGGAATATGGGTTCTTCGAGCAAAGGTCTCTCGCATGTAGAAGTTGGCGTGGCCCATCCCGATCTGTCTCTGCACGAGGCCGTCAGCTTGACAGAGTACTCGTTGGTCATTTCGGCACGAATGGCAGCTTGGTCTTGGAGCGGTTGTGAGACATGAAAGGCCGAAGGGACGGAATCGACAGCTTCTGGTGCAGGGAAGGGAGAGAAATCTTGTGGTTGAGCAGACCACGTCGGCTGGTGGACTGGATGGAACGTCCCGAACTCCGGGAGGTCTTCTCGCTTTGTTTGTCACTGTTGTTATCCTGTACCTGCGGCGGCGGGCAGATGTACGGGAAGGTGGTGTTCCAGTATTGATGCCATTGGCCCATGTCGCTCAGCTGGGCGTCGGGCAGGTTTGTCATGGCCGGAGTCAGGCTCTGCGCGAAATGGCCCAGCCCATGCTGCGCCTGCAGGGCGTTCAGCCCAAGGTAGAATGTGTCCCTCAGCTCAGCCTCGAAAGGGAAGCCCGGGTGCGGGACCTCCAGCTTGGTTTGGAACGGAGGTGTGAGGAGCACCACCACGACCAGCGCCACGGCCAGGACTGGCGAGCGGACAGTGTGCAGTTGCTGCAAGGCAGCCATCTGCAGGTGGTCCAGCTCTCCCGTGACGGCAAGGGTCTTGACCGTCTGGGGCCACGCATGGTCCTGGCTCAGGGCGAGCACCACGGTGAATCGGGTATCGAGAGAGGGTTGTCCGATCTGCTCCTCGAGGGTGGTCATCCGGCGATGGAGACCAGACACGCCCAGGATGCTGCGGGGCAGCGGATCTCGGCACCTCGGCAGCTTCTTGTAATCGAGGGCATTTCGGAGGCAGTGTTGCAGGGCAAGAACTTTCTCCTTGGGCGTGGGCAGGCCAATCAGGGTCATGGTTTCGGCAATCTTCCAGGAGCTGTTGAAGGTGCTGGTGGTGGCGGTGATTCGCGCGGAGGGAAGGAGGGTAAAGATGAGCCGATCGAGGTTTTTAGGCACTCTTGGAAGTGGAGTGGTGCTCTGGTAGGATGCTCGGTTGATCCATGTGAGCCAGGGCACGATCTCGTTGTCTGCGCACAGGATGGCTCGGACGTGGTCAGGGGTCCATCTGATGTAGAAGGCATCGAAGGGGTCGACCAGGCTGAGGATCAAGATCGCCAGCTTCCTCACAAAATCTTCATTGACGTCAACAGGCGGGATGGTCCAGGACTCTGGGCGCGGGCCTGTGCGCCGCGCAGGGGACTCGGGGGACAGAAGTGGTACGGGAATGGTGACTGAGGCCATCTGGACAAGCGAGGCAAGGGAAGATGGTGAGACAAAGGACTGAGAAACAATGTCCAAACCAGGAGGGGTCTAGCCATAATTCATATACCAACTGCGATCCTGGAAAACCGAGAGGCGAGAGGAGCAGGGGAGAAGGAGGGAAAAACCCAGTTGCGGTCAAACACCCGCACATGTGGTCGGGCAATGAGGATGGATGTGTCAGAAAAGCAGTCCAGGTACCAACAGTCAAATCAGACGGCGCAAATGGCACTTCGGAGACAGCTGAGGCAAATCGGACACCCAGTTTTGTGCTGGCCGCGTATTTTTGACAGCTTGGAAGTCGAGGTTGACCATTTCCTGTTGGCCCTCAACACAGAGATGACGGTGATGTGCAAGGGGCGAAGCATAATCCAAAGCCAAATAGGCCAATCCGCTTGTCTACCAACCGGAGTCTCTGCCTGAGTCGTACAGAGCGTGGCAAGGCCTCCATTTGTTTCGCCTGTCACACCTGTCAATGCTGGGAATAAGGAGGGAGAAGATGGTGAGTTGAGCAAACAGAACTTCGGATCCTGCAACCCGAACTCCATGCCCCGCCTTGTCTGCATCGCCAAGAAGAGATTCTATTGCACCAACCACCGATGTGCATCTTACCGGCATATTTAGTGTCAAGAACCCTTTCCACCTGGCTCCTCCAGATACAGCGTAATTGGTGGATAGATATACAACCCTGTCCAGCCGTAACGAGTTGACCGAGTCGACAAGTGGCCAGTTTAGGCGGGCGCGCTGATCTGCACCATATTGGGCCGACGGTCCGAGTTGCGCAAGGGATCGGGGACTTGCAATTAGATTCGCACTATCTCCCACTGAAATGCATCTGATTCGCTTTAGATGGATTAGGTTCAGCCCATCCAGGGCGGATGAGAGGAATGTCGTGGTGTAAAAGGCTTCCTCATCGCCTACCCGGACTTCAGAAACCTGCGGGTTGGATATGAAGGAGTAGTGATTGTCGAAATCGATGTGTGTCCAACCCCCTGCTCGGCACCCCGGAGTCATGCGGCCCCTGGTCACAATAACGATGGAACAAGGCAAACATAATGGACAATAAATACCCAGGTCTTAAAAACAACTTCCTCTCAGCTCACTCGCAGTCTCTTGAATGAGGTTCCTGCTCAACGCGGGGTACGATGTCCGTGGCCAGCTTACCAGTCCGTGATAACCCCGCCAACCCCGCCAGCCCCTTACCGTTTTGTACCCCTTGCAACTGCATCTAGCCTCGTTATGGAATGTCCAAATCAGCTAGTCCCGAAGAGGATGTTTAGGCTGAGGTCTAAGCCAATCAGATGAACCTCGGTCTCATTCTGTCCAATATTAGTGGAGCTTGGCGCGTTTGAACGGTATGTTGGGCTTGCGCTGAAGACTCGTATGGAGGTGCACAGAGCCGCTATCTGGTTTGTTCGTCTCGATATCGCTACTAGACCTGCAGGAGACTGGCTACGATCGGTCTTGGATTACCACCACACCATAACGCGCTCTTCGCACGAGCCAGAGCCACATTCTCCTCCGTCTGCTGCTAGTGCAACCGGCCGTGAGCGAAGTCTCAAACCACGTTTGACCACGAGACGAGCATGAATCTGCACATGCGCTCGAGCTCTTTGCTGCTATCAAGGAGTCACCCCACAGCCTTTTCTCTCTCTTCCTCGCTTTAAACATGGCATTTTGCGCCTTTGTAGATACCCATCTGCAACACCCACTAAGCTGTCACCCTCCGAACAAGACTCGCCCTGTATGGACGTGAGTAGTTTCTCACCCATCTCCTTTGACGCACCTGTCGCAGGAGATGAATACCTCGATTCCTTTGATTGCTTCGCAGCGCAAGACGAACAGCCCCATCCGACTTTTTATGCGACCCCCCTGTCAATTCGAGAATGGCCTGGTTCATCGCCAGCCTCGAAAGAGCCGCTCATCGACAAAGTGGTCATGAGAATCCCCCCCAGCCTGCAAAACGGCCTCAACCTCCACCATGGCGACATGAGCGGTCCGATCCCTTTCACAAATCCTCCCATGATTGACCAAGTCATCATGCATATACCCCCCCAACAGCAACAAGACCTCCTCCGTCCCCAAAGCGAGCAACCAGTTGAGTACATCTTCAACAATAGTTTCGTATCCGGACCGGAGTGGCACAGCCACGTTAGCCTCAATCACGCGGTGGCCGGTCACGACCAAAGGTTCACGTCTGGTGAGCCCCAGCCGGAGACCCGGCCAGCTGGTCAGAAGAGAAGGTCATATTGTCCCTCATGTGGAATGTCTTTTGGGAGGCGCGAGGATATGTTGCGTCATCTCCGAGCCCGTAGGTGGCTCCCTCCCGGTTTCCAGCATCTGATGTCGCTGACAGGCTGCCAGACTCGAAGGACTCCAAGTTTTCCTGCGGGTTTTGCCCCAAGACTTTTAGCCGCAGGTAGGACACAGACGGAACCTGAATCCTTTGAAGGGACCAAGTCGCTGACCGGTTCGCAGGGAAATCTGGAGGGAGCATCAAGAATGGTGCAAGAATCGGTCACGAGCGTCGATGCCGAAACGAGGGAAAATGGCGAGGTGCGTCGCTTGCGCGACTCGGGACGTTGACTGTAGCCTGGGCACACCGTGTTTCAGTTGTGCGACAGAGGGCGAAGAATGTACTCGGCGTGAGTCCCCTGTTAGCGGTATTGGATTATGAACATCAAACACCAGCCGCACTTCTCACGTTGACGCAGGCGGTTGCATTGACTTCGCTGACATTCTGCTCCAAGGTTTCGGCATTCGTACGAACGAGAATGCTTCTGCTTCTGCGCGATCCAGGTCCACCTCACCACAGGAAATGTTTCCTAGTCCCGAACAACCAAGCTTTCCGATGAGGGTACTATGGTCACCGCCGGCCGACCCCTCCCGTGGACAACCGCAGTCAAGAATCCATAGCATTCTCTTTCAGAACTATTTGCGTCGTTTTGAGGGCCCATTGAAATGGTGGATTGCTGGGCTGAGTTCTGTGCCCACCGATGGCCTGGACGCGGAAGTTCAAGAAGACAAGTCGTCGCCTTCTCTGATTGACATGGCCCAGCAGCTCGACGCCGATTTGATGTCCTGGCATCAAGAGAGTGCCTGGAGCGTTTTGAAAACGGCAATTGCGGCGTTCGGGAGCCAGGGGATTGATCCAAGGTCCGACAGGTGGGAGCCGAGATACGGATTCGATAATGGCTGTCGGCCAGAGTTCTTGGCCAGAGCCAAAGCAGCTATCGATAACAGCCCCGACATTCTTTCCTTTCAGGTCATCCTGGCGAACTTTATACTTGGGATGATCCATCGTACGTCTTCAGGACACGATGAGAGTTCCGCCAACGAGGCGGCGTCGGGAATAGCATTTCCACGTCAAGATAGCCGGCAAGTTGGCAACAGATTCATTCGGCGGGGTATCTCCGATCTCTACCAGCTGATCCGACAATGCAGAGATAGCGCAGCTGCTGGGTTTACCAGCACCAACGCAGGCCAGCAATACCTGAGATCATTCTTCAGTCTCGGTCTGGTGCTGGACACGATCTCAGCCGCAGTTGACGGTCGTCCAGTCCTCATCCACGACGAAGACTGTGCGATCGTTCTGGGTGAGAAGTCTGCGGAAGCAAACGTTGAACAGAATTCTGGGCTATGGCAGCTCTCCAACATGCAAATGAAGCAGGTCAAAGTGATCAAAACACCAGAAGGGAGACAGATGATAGATTGCCATTCCCGGTTGGGTGCTGAAGGCGCTCCAATCACAACATTGCTCTTCCGCAAAGTTACGCAGCTTCAAGCTCTGCTCTTCCGACGACGACCAGAATCCGAGCTTGAGACATGCATCCTCGAGGCTGTGGACGTGTACAACCACGGGAACAAGCGATACGGGGGGCTTTCCTCCGATCCGCTCAGCATCTGCGATTCCTCGTGCACAATAAACCTGGGGATTCGATGGAACCTGGCCTGTCTCCTTCTGGCTGACGTGACAGAACGGATTGAGCTTGTGATGAAGCCATTGACATTGTCCGAAAAGCTCCGCGCGACTCTCTGGAACATGAGAATGAAAGCGGTCTGCATCATCTCGGGGCTCGCAAGACTCTCGACATCCGAATCCGAAGGGGAGCCATCAACAATGCTTATCGGCGAGAAGATCGCCAGCGCCTTTCTGGATGACCCCTGGACCCAGGTCCTCGTCCGCGCTATGCTGCAAGCCTCGAAGGTTTCCGAGGTTTGGCGGAAAGACGGCGATACTATCAGAATCCCGCAAACGACAGATGCCCTCTCGCCAAGCGAGCTCAGTTGTCTGGATTGCATAAAGCGGCTCGGGTCATAGCGGCTGGGCGAATGATAGCATGGCAAGCATGGCACGCATGGCTTGCGACATACATCTGGATCCTTGCCAGCCATGCATGAACCCGTCCCGACCCAGAGTCTATGCGCTACCGACGCGTCCTTTATGCAACTCAAGCTTTCTCTTTCGCAGATGCTTTCCACGACATATCGGCGCACAGCAAGCACGCCTATCGGCTGGAAGAAAACTGCTGGCCGCGATGACCGTTGTATTTGTACTCTTGATGGCTGCGCCGGCGTATGGCTGCACCTCCGCACCCGATTTTTGGCCTTCAGTTATACCATGTATTAAACAAAAGGAGGTATTGTGCTGCCCTGGAGTAAATAGGACCGATTTGCAAACGGCAGGATGGGCGGTGTTTCCTTTGTGTATTCGATCTCGGTATTCGACTGGCGGCCGTGGCAGGTGGAGGATCGGGAAGCAGACGTCCATGAGTTTCGCTGGTTTGGTCGTCTCGCCTCGCCCGTTTCTTAATGCTGTATATAACATTGCAGAATTTGTGATCCTGTCATCGACCTTGCACCTCATGTCACTGTTCCTTGTAGTTAGCGTCGGCATGGGCAAAAGACTCATAATGAATCGTTACCACTTTCACTTGTGACCACGTTGTGGGAGCCAGGTATCAGCAGCAGCCCGCTCGGTC